AGACAGTTATACTCACAGTATTATACACACATTGAATAGTATTTATATATAATATATTCACTCTACCCATTATCTGCTAGCTGGTATATAGCATGCAGTTTATAGTCTATCACACCTATCATACTACCTTTAATAAATATATTTTTTATATTTTGGGCTGCTGGGGTGGTCAGCAATGTTGGTGGTGATGCTGCAGMCTCCCAATGGCAGCCATGGCTGAGGGAGAGAGGTGGGATGGACACTCCCAGCCTGAGCTGTGCTGGATGGACACCTGACCAGAAGAAGTGCCCAACCAGCTCCAGATTATTTGGGGACAGTGACCAGTGGCTGGTGACAGGGACATGGGAAGCCCTGACAAGGGTGGGAGCATGGCTGCAGCCTCCCARTCCATGTCCMCTCTCCTCATTGGGCACTTGGGATGAGGTACAGACAAGGGGGGCTACTTYTGGGACAAACTGCAAAGGGATGATGACCTCTGTACCCAAGATGACTGTGTTTAAGGGCAGAATCACCCAAACCATGTCAGCTTTTGGGTACAAAGGCCCCAGGGTGACACAGGTGAAGCCTCTACTGGTCCCTGGAGAAGGGCTGGCACCAGTGCTGGAAGAKGAGAGGTGACAGAGCATGGCTGGCACAAAGGGACCCATGTCTCTGCAGTGTCTCTGAGTACCTTGATGGCTCTCAGCAGAGCATGGAGAAGCCATGATCCAATTTATTCCGACTTCCCAAACCTTGACCATGGCACAGCAGTGGCAGCTGAAGGGCCTGGGCAAGTGTGGACATGGGGGCTGGTTTGGCCAGGGTTGAACCCTACTGCTGAGGCAGAAGAGAGGAGATGGGAACACACCATGTGGTTCCCAGGAAAGTACCTCAGAGCTCTTCCCATGGCCTTGGAGGTTTCAGTGCTCTATTAATTGTCGTTAATGGCAGCAAATGGGGCAGGAGGTGCCCACCTGGACCCGGGTTAAACGGCACTGAGGGAAGGGCTGTGCTGGCACTGCAGGACCTGCCTTGCAAATCACCTGCAACAACATGTGCCGTCCTGGTCACCTCTTCTCAAAAATGATAGTGCAAAATTAATTAGAATTAATTAATCAGAAAAGGGTAATAAGGGTGATTAAGCACCTGGGGAAAAGAAAAAAAAAAATATTCCTGAAGAGCAATCGCAGCACCATGATTGCCTTGGAAGGTGGTGAATGAGTGGGAGCAGGAGGGAGGGTGTGCAGGGAAACAAATGGGCTGGAGAGAGGGGTCTGGGGGGTGTTTTCTGTCTCGTTGCACAAAGAATTACTGAGTGACAAGATTGAAACCCGTCAGAGGAAAAGCATTTCCCGGCAGCAGCGACCACGGGGAGGCAGCTGAGCCCAAGAGGGCACGGGTGGCTCTGCAGTGTGGCTGGAGCTGTGGCTGCTGCTGCTGCTGCCACTCTTTTTTTGCAGATTTGGCTTTGCACAAAGTCCAGCCCCAAGGTTAGACCTGTCTCCAGCAGAGAGTGGGACTCGACAGGGAGTCCACAATGCTGGGACCCTCATCTCCAGCGGCTCAGGAACATGGCAAGCCAAGGGACACTCAACTGATTTAATTTTCCTCTTAATTTTCAGCAACACTCYGTTGCCTTAATACAATTAATAACAACAATAATAGCATAAAAATCAAAGGGAGCATTTGCAAACAAGATCTGCCCATGGATTAAGGCAACTGCTGCGGGTTTCATTATAATCAGAGGAGCCAAAGTGGAGCCCCAGCCCCAGGGCAGGGACAGGAGCACCATTCCCTTYCTGCCATCATGAAGGGCTTTGGCAATAGGGAAGGGTGGAGGAGGTGGCTGAGGCTTGATGGAAAGATCTTGAGGAGCCCCAGCACAGCTCAGTGAAATAAGGGATGAAAGTGTCTTTTGTTGGGGTAGCCGAGTGAGCAAACACTGCAGGCACCATGGAAAATAGGTGGCATGAATGTAGGTGCCCATTGCCTGCTGGAAAACAGAGGTGACAACTGGATTGATRCAATGGCTGCTGGTGGCTTCAGTAAGGGGAAAACGGCTGGTTTTGGTCATTCAGGTGGTTGTGCATGGGGACACTCACACCCCAAACACCGTTCCTGCCTGTGAGCAGCAAGGTGCCACCACCCTATGCTGAGTGTCCCCTCCCTGGTGACAAAGAGCCTCATTTCTTTAACATCTGAAAAGCAAAGTGGGGTGCAAGCAGTGCTTTCTGTGCATAGAGATGTTTTTGTTGTTGTGAGATGTTCTGCAGCCAAACAAACACRTGCTCCTTGTCTCAGTCCTCAGCCTCCAGCTTAGGTCACTGCTGTCCYCAGCACGCTCAGGTCCTTTCACAGGGACTCAGGGGACCTGGGGGCCCAAAAACTGTCTCAGGGTGGCAGCTGCTGGCCCATGCATATGCTCCATGGAAGGATGGCAAAGGGCTCTGGCCCTGAGGTCACATCCTGGTTGTGCCATGGATTTATGGATGGCCGTGGAGTAAGCAGCTCTCTTTTAGGCATGGCAACATTTTAGGGTGGGTCAGTGCTAGGAATAGGCCCTGCTCCCCCCGTGCTCATGCAGCATTGCCCCTGTTGCCACTGCCTTCTGATACTTTGGGTGATTTCAAGCAGATTTTGTCCCTACAGGTTTTGTGAAACTCAGTGTCTGGAGAAGGTGAGGGAAGGACTCAGCCCTTATTACACACCAGARAATCCACACCAGCCTCTATTCCCCACAGACATGACTGTAGCCAACCCAGTTTTGTCACTGTCCCCACAGCAATCCTCTTCCGAAGGCCTTGGGCACCCCCAGATCCTGTTAATCCTGTCCCACTGGRATGGGGGTATGGTGGGGTGGGATGAGACCCCAAAAGGGGGGGTCCAAAAGAGAGACCAAAAGCTCTCAGCTGCACTGGGGAGGGGGACAGAGATGCAATAAGCCCCTTGGACCTCAGCTCCCCATGTTGGCTCGGCAGCACCAGGCAGGGAGGGCACGGGAGAGTTGGGGACACTCGGAGCAGGGGGATCAGTGCCCACACTGGGCACACGGTGGGCACAGGTGGGTGAAGGGGTATGTGAGGGGTCAGTGCCGGGGG